AGTAGTAGCAGCAGCAGTAGTAGCAGCAGTAGTAGTAGCAGCAGCAGTAGTAGCAGCAGCAGCTCCCGCGCCGAACTCCTCATCCATCCGACCATTTATTCGCAGCAATCGTCCCTGCTGCCCCGCGCGTCCTTGCCTCCGCTCTGCTCCGGCGGCGGTGTCACTGAGTCGCTTGGAATTAATTCATTATTTCTTGTTGCTATCGCGCCGTTCATTGTTTCATACCTCCGGGGGCAGAGGTGCTTGCGAGGTATGGTCTGCCGCGCCTCCCCGCCGGAACATTGCACGTTTGTTGTAAAGGACACTAGAAGACAATAATAAAAACAATAACAGCAGTACATAGCAGCATCAACAAACACTCTACAGGGTGGTCCACAGACCCCTTCCTTTATTTTGCTTATACTGTACCGGATACTGGCGTGCGGGCGGGTTGCATACTCGCACGGGGCCATAAGGCGCCGCGGTGAGCGACGGTAGGCAAGCCCGCCCGCACGCGGTACAGTATAAGCAAAGTAAAGGAAGGTGTCTGTGGACCACCCTGTATAGTACTTTCTGCCTCGCTCCGCTCTCCCGCCCTCACTCCTGCTCAATCCTCATCCCCTCCGACGACAACGCCCCTTCGACGTCACCGCAAATAAAGTCAGTAAATGACGTTATCAGACTCGAGGTGCGATATCGAGCGCAGACGCTTGCAGCAGCTCACTTCGCGGGTGTTGGGCCCCCCGGCTGCTCGCGTCGGCGCCTATAGACCAAGACCCTCTCCTCCTTGTCCCCTTGTCTTCATCCTTGTCCGCGCCCCACCACGCCCCGCCCCGCCACCGCAATGCAAAACCAATTAACAGGGCAATCCGCGAGCGCTGCTCCGCGTCATGCCATACCCGACTGCTGCCGCTGCTGCTGCCCGGCTGGGCGCGGCTGACTTGGAGTGGGCAGCGCGGCCCTGCAGCCACCCTCCTCCTGACTGTGCGCCCGCCCGCCCGCCCCGGCGCTGGCCGTGACGGTGCTGGTGACAGCCCCGCGACGGGCGATAGCCGAGGCGATAGCGATAGTATTGTAATTGGTACACGTGCCGCCGCTGCTGCTGTACGGGGTGGCTGAAGTGTCGCACTGTAAATCCAATCCGTGCCCAGCAGGTAAGCGACAAAGTCGCCTGCCCTCCAAAACTAGGCGACTTATGTCGACACAACCCTGCTGCTGGAAATCTTTTGGTCTCCCGAGTTAGTTGCATGGACACACACTGGGTGGAGTGACTATGGGGGCTTATACAATGCAATTACTCGGAAGACAAGAAGGTGTCCAGCTGGTGGTCGACATAAGTCACCTAGATTTTGGGGGGTTGGGCGAATTTGTCGCCTACCTTGCTGGACACCTTGGATTTACAGTGACTCAATACGGTCGCAGGGCGCAAAGCAGGCGCCTTACGGGCGAAGGGAGTAGAAAACCCCGCAGCACTGGAGTCAAATACATAACCGATACCGCATTTGCAGCCGTGGGGGCGCGCTTGATGTCTGACGCCTATACCTCCGAGCGCGGCGGCGCCCTATAGCCCCTCGCGAGTAGGCAACACGTCCGCACGCCTGTGATGCGGTACGGTGGAACTAAATCTTGCTCCGCGGGGTCGGAACTGAGCTGACTACCCTATATGCTGGGGAAAGGGGGAGGGGAGCAGAAAACAGAAAATAAGCAAATCATCGAAAGAGAAAGAACCGCGGCAAAACTTTTCACGGCATAACTTTTACCCCTTTTGGTGGTCCTCCCCCGCGTCTCGCCTCAGCGACCAGCAGCAGCGGCGCAAGGTCTAATCACTCATCCTGGAGCTATATGCCCCCTCCCTCCCCCTCCCGATCCGGAAAGGAGCAATATGCGATAAGAAGGCAAGCTGTCAGCCGCAGGGCACTGCGAGAACCCGGCGCGGGCGAGACGAGGCGGGCAAGGGGCTCTCCGCCAAATAGCTCATTCTCCGCGCTGATAGCTTTATGAAAATGTATGAGAACGGGAATCGCGCCGTCGTCGCCGCCGCCGTGCTGTTGTTGCTCGCCTTGCCTCTCCTCGCCATCCCTGCCGCTCTATCGAGCCCCGCCATGCCAAAAGCCACACTGACAAACAGCGTAAAGTCACAACAACGGGGCCCTTTTAAAAAGATAAAACATAAATAAATCATGTGTCTAATTGCTTTAGCAGATGATAACTTAAAACACGTACACTAAACAATATGCAAAGGTAATGTAAAGGTGTCAGCTAGCTTTAACTCTAGAGTTTCTGCAGAAACTGAGAACCAAGCTAGCTGGCTGAGGTGTGGCGCACCAACACAACCGAGGGCTCGCGCCTCGCGCTCGCTGCCCAGCAGCCGCAGCTCTAATCGTGCCGATTTTTTTTAGCCCACCATTCATTGATTTTATTGAGTATTATTTTTAACCAGTTACCAAGACTGCCTCTACCAGAAGGAAATGTCGGCGGAAAATGAAGAACTCACGCTCATTTGAACGTGGTCGACGCCTGCGTGAGCGTAATGAGCAGAAAATAATACAAGATAATTTCTTATTTATTATTTACAAGATGAACTGAACCAAGTGCACAAAGCAGTACGAAAACAAACAAACTGCAGACTTTTCAGAACATTTTAAAATTTACAGCCAAATCATTACGTCAGGCTACTGGGAATGGTGCGTGGGTACAGTACATCCATCATCTGGTCTGTGACAATACCTGCAAACCACTTCAACAGACGGGGGCAATGCACTTATGATGGATCTCCGCTGCAGCAAGCAGCCAGCGACCTGGTCTCTGCAGCCAGCGCCCTTGTCTCTGCAGCCGCCGCGTACGAGGACGAGCCGTCGCAGCGCCCGCAGGCCGCACGCCGCCAGCTCCTGGCCCAGGTCGGGGAAGTAAAACTTCTGGTTTACAGTAGAGAAGGTACTGAAACAGGACACTTGCAGCTCCCGTATTGATGAGGCATGGGCACGAATCAGAGACAGCATAGTAGACTTGTGCTCAGTGTTGAAGCACACGCTGAGCCACAGCAGCCTGCCGTGCTGCGAGGGAGGGAAAGTCAGATTTGGACCATGGTAATTAAACACCAACAAGCTACGCAGCCTGGGCATGTGCTCCAAACAACGCAGCTGATTCTCCGTGATTCGATCAATGTAGAGCTCCTCCAGCTGTAACGGAAGGTCCGGGTAGTCCACCTCTTTAGCGCATTTAACTTTCAATCTTCTGAGTCCCGACAGTTTCTGCACCTCCTCCATGACGCTGGGCTGAACCTCTCCCGAGAACTCCAGCTCTTCGAGGTGCGGCCCCATGACCCGCAGCAGGTCCTCAGAGCCGTCGCCCCTTAAGGACTTCAGGCTGCGAGGGATGGACCATTTCTGCGGGATGTCACGAAGAATGTCATTCACTTTTAGACGATCATTCTCGAGGTGTTCATTATCTATCGTTAGAACGGAGATGAGAGGTGGCCCAACGTAAGCCGCAGCAGGGGTGACAGGAGGAGCGGTGATGACGACGTCGTCGCGAACCTAGAGTGGGTAGAAAGCGGCTGAACATCTTGACATCGTCACGAGCCCAGTGAGAAATGCATGTCGAAACGATGTCGATTCGACCAGTTTTCCATCGTTTCGATGTCGTTTCGACGTCGATTCGACTTGTCATTTCTCACTGGGGAGGGGGCAATAACTCCGGGAATCATGTGTACACCTGCCTGGGAATCCCCAGGATGAACATTAATCGAAATCAAGCGGGAAACTAGAGAAACTGGTACAAATTAGTCGGATTAACCGTTTTCTATCAGTAAAAAAACTCGAAAAAAAACGTTGGTAACGAATATAAGCAGAAGGGAATCACTGGGAATCAAGAGTTTCGGGAATCATGTGTACACTTCAAAAGGGAGTTATTGCCCCCTCGCATCGTCAGTATAAGTTCTTTCCATCTGATTGGTGACTCACCTTCCCCACTAGTAGCCCATCGGCCCGCAGCTGCAACAAGAGAAGGCGCAATAAGGAGTCGCCGCATCCGCCGGGCTGCACAGAGGCCGTCCAGGCGGAGCCACCCTCCTCTTCGGCAGCGAAGGTGCACTGCTTGGTTGAGGTGAGCAGGCGGTGGCTGGCCTCGAACTGCTCCGCCAGCTGCACGGGCTCCTCCACGGCCTCCGACGTGGTGCCCACATCGCCGGCCGCTTCCCGCTGCACCCGCCTCTGCAGGGCCTCCTCCACGTGTCCAAGCTGGGCGACCGACGACTCCAGCTGGCGGTTCAGCGACTCGACCGCTAGAGGCACCATCTGCCGCAGCATCTCCACCACATGTCTCCCTGCGTCAGCGCCCCGCTGTAGCTGCTCCAGCTCTGGGTCCTCGATCTTGGGCTTCTTGCAGGGTGGTGCGTCCTCGTTCTCCAACAGTTGGACGGCTAGGACGTTGTCGGGCAGGTCCTCAGGTCGGCGTTGCCTAAATGACTAAACCAGGCAATGGAAAACAAATAACTTGGGAGTGAGAGAAATGCAAAATTTACATTTTAATCAACTTGTTCAATAGTTTTCTAGGAAAACCAAAAGAGGTAGTGGCGAGGGTGGGAGCATATTGGACACACTACACATGTACGTGGGCTACCCATAATTCAACCTCGCGCTTTCTTCTTGATTGTTTTTATCTCAAACTAATTTAATTAAATTTCTGTTATTTTTTGGTTTGTTGCCTACTGTACATTACCCGGGGAACTCAAACAATTAATTTCCGTACTAGTCCTCAAAAACAAAATTGAGGATGTCAAGCCACAAGATATTTAGAACGTACTGACCTTGCTGCAAGTTGGGCACTTCCTCCCTAAGGCAGGATTTTCAACACATTCCTTACAAACGGTGTGTCCACAGGGTAAGCTTTTAGGGCGGTGGGAGTCCAGGTCCAAATTGAGGAGACAAATATCACACTTCAAATTCATCTACAACACAAACAAAAAGGAGTGTCATGATCATGAAAATATACCGTATACTTAAGTCGAGCAACCCAAGATTAGCGTTCTTGAAATGATAGGTAAAACCTAAACCGCTTCATAACCACAAAAGTGAACTGTACACTGGACTTACTTTTCTTACAGGTGTCTGTTCTGCGTACTGCGAGTAAGATGCGATGATGGGCTGTCGAAAACGTCACAAGCAATACATAAACTCACTGTAGGTTGAACTGCAGTTTTAAACTTGAATCGGTAAAAATAATAATAATAATAAGTTCTCGGATCAAGGTTATGTTGTTATCGGCTACTACCCGGGTTTTCTTCTTCCTCCTTTCCCTTGTAGGTCGTGTGAGACGTGGCTTGCGATTGGCTGTAATGGTTTCGGCGCAAAGGCGCAGGCGCAGAGGGCGCGGGCGCGAGGCATGAACGCGAAGCAAACAATTTTGTCGTGCCATTTTCAAACAAAAATGTCGATGAGAATCGATATTGATATCCATGTACTTAAGTCTTGTATTATATTATTTCAGTATAGGCATGTGATGTGAAGGTTGCAAAGATCTAACACGGCTACGCTGCCTTTTGAGCCGTGGGCAGCGAGCATAGGCAAACCCGCCTGCCCCCATGCATGCGGTACAGGATAACTACGAACGTGAGCGGCATGAATCAGCCACCTGGTCTGCGTATTTGAATGTGCTCCAGTATTACATGCCTATTTGCCTACTGCCTTGTGGAGAAGGGACTAAATGTCAAACTCTTTGGAATTAGACTATATAAGATACGAAGGATCCGCACGAGTCGCTGAGGGGATTCTAATCATGTTCTCGCCACAAAAGCCATAACGCGCATCCCTGGCCTCGTGGTGACCGCGGTGACCCTGATGGCCTACTCGCCCACGCTCCCCCCGCTGTGGGTACAATGCAGTGTCCGCACCCC